GGGCACAGGCTAAGGCCAGCAGTGCCCCCGCCCGTGGAACACACAGGGCCACCCGGAGGCTGGCCCGTGCAGCCGCTGAATGCGTGACCCGCGGGTACAGCTCAGGCTGCAGCTGGAGGCCTGGCTCAGCGGTCGCCACGGTTTCTAACGGAGCCTCAGCTCTGTGCGTGGAAACACGGCCAAGCCCCCCCCCATCAGGCTCCCGCCGCTGCTCCGCCTTCCTCTCACCTGCCCCACGCGGCCCGTCCTCTAGCGCGCCTCACGGGCCCACCTCACTCGGTGATCCGCCCCGCGGCGTCTCTACCTGTTCTGTTTATTTCCTTAAGTATCTTTATCTTCCCGTGTGACCGGTCCTTTTCCCAGACTAGATCAAAGCTATTTCCCACCCTTTTTCTTTTCCAATGGAACTGATTCAGGCTGACGTCTCCCGCCGCCTCCGACCTTTGAGCTGCGAGCTGCAGCACGGACCTTCCATCATCGTCACTGGTCCCCTCAGACCACTTTCTCGTTTCCATTTTCACACGCAAGTCATTAGCAAGTGTGCGGCTGAGGCTCCTCCGAGCGCCGACTTTCAGTTTCACCGACCAGGGTCAGGGCCTCACTGTGGTAGCCTTCACACATTCGTGCGCTCGTTAGGAAGAAACAAACCGCTCTGAATGGGCGCAGCACCTTCTCCACCTAGATGCTGTCTAGGACATGTTTACAGGCGAATTTGTACCTTTGAAGTGAACTTTAAGTGAAGTATTAAAATGAAACTCGAGACTATAAACGGTGTCCTTCCTGCCCACTGGGCCCTGGCCCGGAGCCCTGTGTGGTACTGCCTGGAGGCCCGTCAGAAGTGGGGCCGGGCCAGAGACTCTGCACCAAGAAAGTGCTCTGTTCACCGAGTGCAGGGGTCGAGCAGCTTGTCACGCTTCCTCGTGGGCCTTCTTGTCCTCACATCGTAACCTGGCAGCCCAAGCCTTGTAGACAGTCGGGGGCCGCGTGAGGAAGCAGGCTAGGCTTGGGGGCTGTTAACTCACCTGACAGTCTGTTCTGGCTTTACCTCCAGAAAGAACCACTCCCTCTGCCTTGGTTTGAGGAGAGACACCAGGGGTTTAACACCGCTGCTGTTGTTGTCAGGTGCCACTGAGTCATTCTGACCCACAGCAACCCGGCCTGCAGCGGGGAGCTGTCCCACGGGGTTCCCAGGGCTGCGACCTTCCTGCAAGCAGACTGCCTGGCCTTGTTCCCACCGTGGGGGTTCGACCCACTGACTTTTCAGTTAGCAGCTGAGTTCTTATCCATTGCACCCCCAGTGCTCATTACTTTAAATTAAGTTTCTGAAATGTCAACGAGCAAACAGAGGCGTCTCCATCAGTCCACAAGGCACACGCGAGGCCTTGGCACTGGGAACAAATGCAGTCACCTCAGTCCTCTCGCTTCTGTGCGACAGGCCTCCCATCTTGCCGTGCAGACCACGCCCTGCACCAACGACCTTGAGGCCTACCTGGATCCTGGTGACCCGGCTTCTCTCTCCCTGCCCACCTGCCCTCCCTCCTTCTGAAGGACCCGTTACCATGGAGACAATGATAGAAATACTCTACTAGGCAGAAGTGAGCATTTCAAAGGAGGGACTGCCGCTGGGACTGCCGCGGGCAGCATCCAGAAAGGCGGAGAGGCCAGGATCCAGCCGCTCTGCGGTGCCCAACACGACTGCCCTCCCTCTCAGAGGGGACGGGAAGTGCTCAGCGAGGGGTGGAATCCTCTGCAACTGCACACTAGCATCTGGTCTAGACCACACGGCGCCCGGTCCACACCGCACGGCGCCCGGTCCAGACCACATCAGGAGCAGAGGCAAAACACAGGGACATGGACAGATGAACAGGGGAAAATGGAGAAAGCATGTCTGAGAATGAACCCCCCAAATGGCCACAGACTCATCAAGTACTGGGGTGTTAGAAACCTTCAAAAGAGGGCCAAGACCACATAAGCCCAGCCCAAGATGAGGAAGAGAAAGCTACCATGTGGTCAACAATCTGAAGCAAAGCCGGCACCGCCATGAGCAGACGGAACTCACGCACAAAAGCAGACAGAGAGACCTTCACCCGCTGAAACTGAACACTGCCCTGTGCGGCTGGAGGCAACGACGCAACTCAGAAAACCAACCAGCGGCCTCACAGAGAAAGACACCAAGCCGTGACCCCCCTCGTGTGACCGTGCCTGGCACCTGCCGGTCCACTGCAGACACCGCACGGTAACTCACACGGAGACCACCAGGCACCAGAGTCCCCGAATGTGTCAGCTGCAAGAAAAGAAGGGATAAAACGGGGAAAAGGCTCCATTACAAAAAGAAAAGAGATCCGAGGCGAGAAAACAGCCCCACACGAAAAAAATTGTCAATGGTGTTGAAATAAGGCAACCCTGGACTCCTGTGCTGCTTCCAAAGAATCAACATAGAAGACCACCGGTGAACAGGTACTTTACACGAGGACAAGACGGGGCAGGGAAGCTAGATGAGTGGAAACAGAACCATGAGAACGGAAACTAGTGGACACTCACATGATGTGAGGAACGTAACAAGGTGTGTGGAAACTGTTGAATGGGGACCTGAACTGCTGCGCGCACCTGCCCCAAACACACAGGAAGTTATTTCAAAGAAAAAGGCAATGACAGGACCCTGCAGAATCGGGCCGACACTCAGCTGTGGCCGATTGAAGCGCTCACTCCTCTCCCACGTGAATGCACGCACCTAATATAGCTCTAACGATAACGTCAACACTGGGGACTCAAGAAGGGTTCCAGAGGTGACCCGGGGGAATTCCAGTGGAACTGATACTTGGAAAATTCACACAAAAGGCCAACACACTGCATACACAATCAGTAAAGATTTTAACAGTCTCAGGGGATGATATCCAAAGGCCGAAAAAAGCCACTTAAAAAAAAAAAAAAATGATGGTCTTTTCTCTACTGTCAAAGGCAAGGAAACAAGAAACGAAACAAAAATCCTTGCAAATTTAGAACAAAAATACTAATTCATTACGAATCATAACATGGGTTTGCCATACAAGGTTCATTACTCCCCAGTCCATGAAAGGTGCATTCAGAATGAAGCCAAGTACGGATGGCTTCAATAAAGAGCCACAGAAGAAGTGAGAGAAACCCATGCCACATGGTAAGTGTTAAAACCAAAAGGAGCAGGAAGAAAAAAAAAACCCAAAAAAGACAGGCTAACTTTTACAACCTCAGAGCGTGGAAGGGCCCTCCCAAAAGCTGACACTGAAGTCAGGAGATATTCAAAACAACACTGGCTTTATCCACATCATCTGAACTTCTGTCCCCAACAGGCATGTGTATAAGGCATAAAATCCCATTGGGTAAAAACTGGAGACCTGGTGGTGCAGTGGTGAAGTGCTCTGCAGACCTGAACCCACCAGCCCCTCCACGGGATAAAGAAGAGGCAGTCTGCTTCTGTAACAACTTACAGCCTCGGAAATCCTAAGGTGCGGTTCTACACTGCCTGTCCCCTGGGCGCTGTGAGTCAGAATTCACTTCATGGCACTGGGTTTGGTTTTTGGTTACGTGACAACTACATATAAAAACTCTATGGGCTTAAAAGGGAGCTCTGGTGGTGTAGTGCCTAAGGCATCTGACTGCTAACCAGAAGGCTGGCGGTTCAAACACACCAGCCACTCCTCAGAAGGAAAATGGGGCAATCTACTTCTGTAAAGATTTATTGCCTTGGAAACCCAAGGAGGGGGTCACTATGAGTCAGAATTGACTCGACAGCAGTGAGTTTAAAGAGTTTGATAGAAAAATCAATAAATTTTTTTCCCTCAAGAAAACATAAGTAGCTAAACCTGCCTTAAGTAGACAAAAATATGAATACCAGGGAAGAAATCTGACAAGACAGAATGATTTAAGGAGCAACTTCTATAAACTTCCTGTGAACAGAGCCATGGCCACATTAGGAGAGCGCTTCCAGGGCAAAGAAGAGAGCCGACTCCTGCTTGGTACTAAGGCCACTTGCATGCCCACACGATGCCAACTTCTGGGCCCAAACCCAGCTGTGTCATTTTTCAAGTGAGTCAGGACCACAGCCAGCAGACAGTCTTCACTTAAAATGCTCAGTTCTCGCTGTGCCGACCACAGCCTTTACTCGACAAGAAAGTTCAACAGGGCGATTTCTCAAGGGAAGGCAGGCTTCAGCTGCTTCTATCCCCGACGGCAGGGGACGCCAGCTTGAGAGTAAGAAGGGCCCTGGGAGGGATGGACACCGACAATGCACATGTGCACGTGGGAAACACGCATAGCCGCACCCTGCTTGTGCAACGCCAACCACGTGAGGGCCGTTTGGCTGCTGATCCAAAGCGTACAGGACACGTCCTAACAAGCAGCAGACCCAGTGCCACCGACTCCGGGCACAGCAACGCGCAGGGCAGAGCACAGCCGCCCGGCTGGCCTTCCAGGGCTGCCAGTCTTTGCAGAAGCAGACCACCTCACCT